GAGAAGAAGAGGTAGCTGTCAGATTGTAAAAGCAAGGTGGAAGTTTCCCAGAGGGCGGATCGTATCCTCGTTGGATGGATGAGATAGATTGGTGCGCGTTAATATCGAAGAGGACGCGCCTCGAGATTCACAAGCAATTCACAACGAGCGAACGTTTATTCATTCATGCATTATCGCGGTCACGGTCGTGTTCATGGTCGTCCTCGCTGACATTCCGCGTCGCACCGTGCCCAATCCCATATTGCACTCCCGTCGCAGTCATAATCACTCTTCGAGTCACGGTCACTGTCACTCCTAAAGTCATCATCACAGTCACAAACATAATTGTAGTTGCGACGCCTCTACCGAAGTCGTTGTCGTTGCGCTATCGTCACTGTCACTGTCGCTGTTGGCATCACTGTCAGGGTCACTGTCACTGTCACTGTCACTGTCACCACCACTATCACGGTCATCGTCATCATACCGCCTCAAGGCATTATCACACGGCCCTCGTCACAATGTCACTCTGCCAGGCGTTTCTCGTTGCTCGTAGCTTACGGCCCGTTGCGCGTTGCGCGTTGCGCGTTGCACGTGTCACGTAAGCTCGTCGTGACTGGTGAAGGTGCGGGGTCGTCGCGCAATCACAAGCTCCTTGTTGCATAGAGTTCCGCATATCCCCGGTAGGGCAAGTTAAGGTTAAGGTAATCCGCGGAAAAGTTCTCCGACGAGACGCTTCTCTTACGGTGATGATGCCCAACTTCTTGAGCGTACACGACGTGGTGTCCGCCTCCGTCGTCGTGCCCGCCCGCAAGTTTCTTTGCTGCCACGATGAGAGATAGCATGAGGGCCAGAGCGGAAACCATCAGGGCCTTCATGGCCAGCAGACCAAGGGCGCCGAATCCGAGGGCCGACATCATCTTACCTATAGTAGAGGGTTGGGATAAATGTTAAATGAAAAATAGTTTCTCGATTTCTTAATGACGTTCACGTGACTCGTGTTTCCGCATCGTATCAATGCACGCGTACGCGGATTTCATTGGACTCTCGCTTACCCATCATCAGAGCCATCAGCAGCATGCCGCCGTCGCCTTTTTTACCGCCGCCTAGGCCGCCGCCGCCGCCGCCGCCCTTGCGCCCTGAAACAATGAAACGCGCGACGTGCGCGCCGGGACAATGAAATAACGAGCTCGCAGTGAAGGCTAACTGTTGCATCTTTCGAATTGACCAACCTTGCCCAGCGGACGGTAAGCTCTCCTTAAGGGCTAATTCGAGATTATCCGGCAGGAGACTTGGAAGCTTGACTCGCAGCTCCCGATCCTCGAGGAACTCGAAGAGCTGACCCATCGGCCCATCCTGGCCGGTCTTCATCCGCCTGGCCGATCGAGCGCTCCCGCCGTTCACGGAACGTTCGGCGGCTCCCGGCGTCTCGACCAGAGTCACTCCGTCCGACAGCTCGAGACTTGGCAAGCTCCCAGACTTATCGAGCAACTGCTGAACGACTCTCCGAACGATCCTGACGCCGTGGCACGAGACTGAAGAATTTCGCGGGTCCTCGGCGGAACAGGAACCTCCTAGTCCAGCCCAGAGGGTAGCACTGCTTTGCTCGCTCGACGAAGAGCTCGCCGAAACAGACAAGGAGAGCAGCGTCAAGGCGATCGCGATTAAACTTCCCGGCCCTCCCGGCCCTATCAAAGTCAGACGCCGACGCGGCATCTTGGTCCGACGCGATACTCCCAATCTCATTTCTTTTGCTGCGTGCCAATTTCTCTCTGTTGTCCACGTGCCTCACGAATCAACCAGACGCCGATCCGAGCGAGAGTCAATCGAAGCTGGCGAACTTACGTTACGGATGCGATTCGAAGGAAAATGGCTCCGCGACAGAAAGGTAGGACCGATCGAAGGACCGTACTTGCGAGACCTACGGCGGAAGTCTGAATGTTGAGCGAACTGCCAGCAGATTCCATTTATATACGTAATCCTTGGAGATTGTACCACGAAAAAAGCAACGCCCGAGTCTACGTACTCTCTAGAGTCCTAGTGCTGCGGAGTAAGCAAGCCGAATGTTTTTCGTTCGATCGGACTTTATTCGTTCAATTCTTATTTTGAAGGTTTTAGAGCGTTACGGACCTCAATTATAATAGGAGGCCAGTGTCATGCTAGACTCTTTCGGACGGTCAGTCTATTGTCATCTCGTCCTTTCCCTTTGGCGTTATATTTTTCACGGCCAACGGACTCTAGTCCAATCGGCTATGCCGTACTAGAAACTACGTTCTTCTGCGTTCGTTTTACTGGAGCGCAGCCACGGTGAACGTCTCTTCACTCTGCCGATTCGGATTAATCGTTCCGCCTCGAGAGTTGATCCTCTCGCCATCCCCCCACCCGCTCCCATATACTTCTCCGCACTCCACTTATCCATTTCTCGAATCCCAGTCATTCACTCTCTGCCGACATCACTCTCACCGCCCACCCACCTCTGAGATGCGCTCTCGAATCTCTTAACCCGCAGGAGTCTATTATTCATCCTTTCGGTACGTGCGACAATGTATGTACAATGGTACGCAAATTGCCCGACGTGGCGCGTTGACGTCGCCCGATGCGTGCGCGACGTGTCGCTGATTGTAGCGCATCAGGGAGCATCGTAGCTCCTGAAATCGAATTAACTGATTGGATTAGTTCTGGCATGTAGTTTCGAGATCGGAGGCCCTTCCTGCCAATCGCGCCGATCGTGCCGATCGTGCCGATCGCTCCTACCCAACTTCAAGTAAGTATCTCGACGTGAGAGAATTGTGATGGGGCACGAGGCTCCGGAAGAGACAGAAGTGCCTTAACAGAATCTAGTTCATCTCCGCATGCCTTTCTCTTCTGTTCTACTTGGCTCGGCATATCGAAGGTATGCTCCGCACTCTCTCACTCTCTCTCTCTCTCTCTCTCTCTCTCTCTCTCTCTCTCTCTCTTCCTTCAATACAAACTTCCCGGAGAACTCTCGGAGCCGACAATCGCACTCATCCCACTCCAGCGAACAGGCCAGCGTACCAGCTCTCGCAAGATATCGAACGATATAGGAGTAGAACGGGAGGATAGGAATGGATACTGGACGAATTAACGACAATAAGAGAGCATGTTTGCAACGGGAAATCGAAAGTTCTTTTTCTTGGAAGCTGACCACGGGAATGAGCTCACAAAATGAACGATGCCCTCCCAGCAGTCGCTTATGGCAATCGAAATGAAACGGAAGCGGATTTTATTGCAAGTACATATAGTTGATCGGCCGTGCAGAGAAAGCGCAAGAAACGATGGAGTCACGGAAGAATCTTCGCAGACGAGAAACCTTCGGAACTCGTCTGAATCCGGAAGTAGGGCTGCATCATGAATTCGCAGTATCTCCCTGGTGGCCATTGCCGAAGAACACTGCTTACACATAAGAGCCAAGCTGACACCCTAACAGTACATTTTAGAGAAAGGAAGCGTGCCAGCGATTGGGATAACGGAGCTCAGTTTTGCGCCTACCGGTCAAAGGATCGCGCTGACTCGGTCCTGGAGTAGGAAGCCCCTTGCCGGTCAGCAGGAGCTTCTTCTTAGCGTCGATCGCACGCCGAAGGTATCGCCTTCGCCACTCTGCGTACTTGGGACCCACCGGCCAGCGATCCAAGCGGCTGGACGGCAAATTGACGGGCTGTTCCTTCTTCCCGGGGTCCTCTTGCGCCTCGTGTTTCACAGCGGCGTGATCATGATGATGCAGATACTCGTCATCGTGTCCGTGGAGGTTGGCTTTCTGTTCCAGGAGCCAAAAGTTCCGTACGCCCACGAAAACCGATATCAGGAGACTGAGGTTTGACGAAAGGAAGCTCAGCGTAGTCAGCAGCAGGAGTTTCGTTAGGACAATCGGTAGAAAGGCCAGGAGTTTCATGCCCAGGCTGGCAAGAATGGGCACTAGAAGAAGGTTCCCGAGCATTAAGCTTCCTAAAAGGTGCGTTTCCAATGTATTATAGTAGATATAATAATATTAACGAGCACAGATCGCGTCACATGGACTATTGCCATAGAACGTGAAAAACTTACGTTGGTTATCTGTATCCGACGCAGCTGTTATTTTCCTCTGAGAATTCGATTTGCGTGCCGACGAGCTCGGCACGATGCCCGTTAGGAGCATCGTTATCAACAGACAGACTTTCATCAGCGAGATCCGCGACTTTAGTTCCAGTTCCGCTCTCATGTTGTCGTAGTATTGCCCTAGCCAATAACTACGACTGCTCTGATTGCGTCTATCTTGATATCCGATATCTTGCTATATCGATCTTCGACATTCGACATTCCCGGCAAGGCAGTCGCACGATCAGACCGCCAGAGTAGACTTGTCTCTTTGTAACGACGAGAGCTCTACTTTTTATAGTTTTGTCCTCGAATAGACTAATTGGTTTTTCGTATTCTAGCGTAACAAGTTGGGATAAATGCGGGTTATCCCAGACCGGCGGAATTCTCTGGCATCCTTCCACCGTTTCTGATAGAACCAGCTAGAATCTTTATTCCTGAGGGATAGTCGAGCCGCTGCTGGTGCGACAAACCCGTCGCCGACAATCACCGTTAACGAGATACCCTCGACCGTGACGGGTCGAGCATCACGCGCCACGTTCATCAAATAACATTAACGGAGTCACCGTGGAATTCCATTGATAGTTCCCATTCGAGGAATGGCATTCAGCGTATTTGTTCTTTGGTGGAACAGCCCAGAATCTCGTTACTCGATAGCCGAAAGTGATTCAACACGTAATATCAGGAGGTCGAACATATTCCGAGTGACGTAACGGTATTAGATACATAAAACCCTTTTACCCTTTTATCTTGGGTATCGCTCATAGGTTCAAGCAAAATTGTAAAAAAAAAAAATAATGAAATAAATGATTCTTTTCAATGTACACCTTCCAAGTGCATCACTATAAGTTTCACTAGTCATAGAGAATTGTCAAATTTCGATTTAGTAAATTTTTCTTTCTTATTTGCATATCATCCCTATCTTTGTGAATATCTTGACATATAGGCTAACGAACGTGTACACCCTGTGTACGTGCTTTTGGTTGGCAAATAAATATTTATTTTTGTAAAAATATAGCATGTACATTTCGCCATGATTAGCAATGAAATAAAATAAATTATCGATAACGATGACGAAAAGAAAAGTAATAATTAAGGCTTCGATGAGGTGATGGTGGTGGTGATAGTCGTGAGATTCGTAAGCTCGTTCCTGAAGGGAAATTCCGATGCTCTGATTTCTTTGTAAGAAGAAGAGGTGACTAGCACGTTCTTCGATTCCTCTCAGTCTCTGTCCTCTTCTGTCGCGTCATGTCTAGTCGCACTCGCACTTACCCTTGTGCTCCTCGTGCGCTAACGTTCATTCATAGTCGCAGGTTCGTTGCCAAGAGAAACGAGTCTAGGAATTTGAGGAACAAGTGAGCGTCTCGTCTGTCTCGTACGTTTCGTCAATCTCGTGACAATCACTCCGCTCACGTGCACATATCGGGCATGAGGGACGAACGTGTCGAGGGAATCGTGTGTCGCTGGCATATACAGCAATCAATATAGTACCTTAAATCTAATGGCAAGAAAGAAAATTCAGTGTTTCCTAATTTTCCAATTTGAGAATTCAAGTCAGCTGATCAATTGGATCGTCACTGCTAAGAGGAAGATCGAGATCGGCATGGGGTTACGATTAGAGGCATCTGGAATGCGTGCCGATGGCGAAGAAGCAAAGATTATGAGGACGATGAGAGGATGGAGGAAGAGAGGTTATCGCAAGATCCCGTTTAGTTGGCAGGCAGGTGTGCGGAGTAGGCGAGATTGTGAGCGAGGTCATGCTGATCGGCCGACGGCTCGACCTGCAACTTTGCAGGCACCGATGACGAAGAGTGGAAGCTTCTGGCCCATCCGCTGGAGTAGCTATCCCCATGGCCGCCGTGGTCCGCGCTGTACGCGTGACTCGAGGTGTGATGAGGGTGACTCACGACCTCGTACGTCACGTGCTTCTGCTGGGAGAAGAGCTTCTTCAGGCCGATTATTCCGGCAAGGAGGAGAGCAATCTTCGACAGTAGTAGAGCCTTGCCGACTAGCAGTGCAAGTCCCTTGAAGGCCAGACCACCGATCAGCCCGATCTTGAGAACTGCGGCGGCGATTAGCGGTCCCATGCTGTTCTTCTTTCCGCGACCTGAATGGATAATTCAATTTGAATAGGAGCAAAAGTCCATCGGGCGGTAGAGTTCCGACGGGCGCAAGATCAAGATGAACCAGAGGGTAAGTCAGCAGCCCTATTTAGGATCTCTTGTGAACTTACCGTCTTGCGCTGCGCCGTCGGCTGTCGCTGCTCTCGCACCGCCATTCTTTGTTTTCTCAATGGAGACCCCGAGATTCAAGGCACCACTCTCATCCTCGGAAGCTGAGACGACGACGTCGTCCTCCGGGAAGACCCTCCACTTGATGTTCCTGGACTTGACGAAGGCATAGAGCTTACTCGCCACTAGGTCAAAGGCCTCGGTGTCGTCGTCCTGGCTGCGACCGGCGCCGAATCCACCGGACGCCGCCTTCGGTCCACTGACACCCGCAGCGGCATTCTCGTTAATTGACTGCTCAGTCTTCTGGCTGATCTCGATGTCGTCCGTCAGCTCGATGGAGGCCTTCTTCAAGAGCTTGTTCATGTAGGTCACGAGTTTGAGCATGACGCAGCTGCTGACGTCGTTCTGCGAGCACTTGGTATTTAGCTTGCGCAGGAGCTCCTCTTCGTACTTGGCACGATCGCTCAAGGTCACTGACTGTAGCTGCTGCAGTGGATGCTGAAGATTGGAAGGAGTCTTTTCCAGCGTCTCGTGTTTCTCGTGTTTCTCATGTTTCTCAAGGGGACTGGCTTCAGCGACGGAGAAGAGAAGCGTCGCCGCAAGGCCAATGCCAATTAACGTGAGAAACCTACTCATTTTTCGATTGGTCTTCTGGAAGAGATCAAGAGAATACGAGGAAGCCGCGCTGATGTAGCCAGAGACGTTGGATGACCGTTTGCGCGTCGCGACGCCAAGACCGGAGTAACGTGCCCTTCGCGAACCTAAACGAGCGGAGCGAAGCTTCTGAGCGAAGCGTCTCGCCCTGGCCAGTTTATATACGTACGTAGATCTCGTTTGCTAGATACGAGAGTCCAGCGAGGCATCCGCCACGAGCAGGACGGGGCCGACGGGGCCGACGGGGCCGACGATGGTGGGATATGCCAGCAAGATCTCGTGAGATCCCACGAAGAAGAGAGAACCATCCCGACTCCAACCTCTGCGACACGACAGCTCTACATCGCGCGCTCAAACTGGTTCTCGGCTTGAATCGAGTTAGACGCCGAGCCGTGTGCGCGATACACGCTCTCTGCCTTACCTATTTTTCCACATCGACGCCCACACACATTCAACGACTCCCAATCGATTTGCCTGCTTACCGGCTACAGCCAACAGACATGTGTGCATCCTTCCACGCTGGGAAAAGTTTCCACTTGACACGCACACGCACACGCACACGCACACGCACACGCACACGCACACGCACACGCACACACGTCACGGGCAGAGCCAGCCAGAGCCGTACTCGATATCACGCGCCCCCTCTGTCGTCGCCGACGTTACTGCATTCAGCCTCCGGCAGCTTAATCCTAAAGCCCCGTCCTCGGTGGAATCATGCCACAAATGTGGAGCAGTCGCGCGTCGCCATTAAAAGTGGCTTCGTCAACATCATCGTCGCAGCCATCCGAATCTCGTCCGGTCCTGGTGCGCTCATCGCACTCCATATATTGGACATGACTATGAATGCGTAGGACTGTTGCCCGATGGATTACGAAGGACGCGTACAATTAATTCACGAGAATTGCGAGAGACGAAATTGCCCTGCCTAACGGTGAATTTCGATCGCGACTAAACGTGTCAGTGTATCGCGCGTAGGCGTCGACAATCGCGTCCTCAACCAGTCCCAGATCTCGCGAAATAGTGTCTAATGTCAAATGTCGAATTCCTTCCGGGATAGCAGACTCTCCTCGTCCGCGCTGTCACAGGGCAGGGAAACTTATCTCTATACATTCACGATGGCTAATCGCTTCCGGTCTTCGCGCGGGTGAACGAGGTCACTTGGTCAACGAGCTCATTCCCTCCGGTTCTCAGGATCGCGAGCAAGAACGCGCTGGCCTGCGTACGTCCGCGTTACCATTCGTGCGTACCGGCCAACATGCACGACGCACACCTTCTTCTCTGTTCATTCTCGTTCCACCGTCCTTCGTCCTTGCACCGCGCGGCTACCCTCGACCACAAGGCGGTGCCGAATTCCTAAGAATACGACGCAACGATGATAGTCAAACGAGGCGTGTAAAGAACGTACGTTTCAAGAGTTGTTATTATTATTCGCATTATGTGCGAGTCGTGACCCCGATTTTCAAAGGATTCCCGTGAAACGAGAGGAAGCGAGATGTTCGATATGATTCGATCGAAGAGTGGGGTATACGAGTGGAGGAGAGGAAGAGGCGGAGGGGAGGGGAGAGGAGAGAGAGAGAGAGAGAGAGAGAGAGAGAGAGAGAGAGAGAGAGAGAGATAGCGGGGGAGAGGAGAATTTGAAAAATGCGGACGGTCCTCGTCTCTATGCTAATGTAGAGAAGAGTTTATTGGTGCGCGAATGCGTATGTCAAAGCTATGTACAGTTTCCGGATAACGGACCGAGCTGGATCCTCTGTAGCAGTCCGACTCTCTGAGAATATATAATAATTGACCGTTTACGAGTGACGAGATGTGAGTCCGGTGTCGGCAGAATCCCATTTTTCCATTCTCCGGCATCCGACGTGATCGGTCAAATCGCTTAAGAAATGAGTCGTACGGATCGATTGGATCCTTCCTTAGGAACCGTACTCTCTGTATCCGCTGTATGCAAGGTCCTGCCCGAAGGACACTCTGTCTCCTTGAGTGTAGCCTTGATGATAGTCCTCTTCTCGATATCCGCCATGATCTCCCACGAAAGTGTTTCCGTTTTCCTTGTAATGCGGAAAACCAAGTCCGCTTTGCGAGTAGATCGGCGGCTGATAGTTTTGTATTTGTGGTTTGCACAACTTGAAGAATCCGATCAGACCCGGTATCACGATCGCGAGAAAAGCCAAGAACTTCTTGAACGATGCCAGGCCCAGAATCAAGGGCAAAAATAGCAAAAGCTTAAGCTTAAATAGCTTAAGGACCACGAGCATCGGAATGAGGAGCTTCTTCAATCGATTGCGAGCTAAAAAAGAAAATTCGTATGAAGAAACGGGAACGTCCCTGACAGTCGGCCGGGACAGAGGAGTATCTTAGCACCGGGATCAAGTAATTTAGCTGTCCATACTTACAGAAGAGCGTGTCTTTCTTATTTTCGATGGTATCGATCTCATCAACGATTTCGTCTAGGAATCGCGGCGCATAAATCTCGTTCTCGCCAGCCACCCACTTGGGCACCGAGACTTCGAAAGCCACCGTCTTCACGAACCTTTCGGCCTTCCTTGCGGCAAATTTAACGAGCTGTTCCCATTCCGTCTCCTCGGCCCTATAAAATTTCACAATCAGATGCCGAACATCCCAGCGGGAGTTTCGTCACGATAACGGCATAACGATCGACCGATCCGCTGATCCAGCCAACGGAAAGATATTCACCTTGGGGCCCCGGAATACTCGTAAGGACTTTGAATTACGTTCTGTACGATGTCGCTGGACATGCGTATCACTCGCACGTTCTCGTTTAAACTGTAGGTTGGTCGATCAAAGAACTCGGAGAAGGATTGCAGTGCGCGGGACTTGAAGCATTCGGCCAAGTCACCCTCGAGACAGGCGCGGTTCGTCTTTGACAAGTACGGATCGACATTCTGACCCGTGCCGAGGCCAATCCAGTCGAAGAGGTCTTTGCCTTGACGGGTTCCATTTGCAAGACCGGCGCGAGCTGCGTCGGGCCTCCTTCCTTCCGGTCCAGGAGGCGCTGCTTCCTCTGTGTGTTCAAGTATAAGTATAGTATAGAGCAAGACCAATGAGCAAGACCAATGTACGCTACGAGGAGCACTCGATCGATAATCAAGAGAGGATTCAAGTTTGCAGAGATTGTCGCGCTATCTACGTCTCCTTCCTTTCTCTCATCCCTGCTGTGGATGCTGCTGGCAAAGAAGATCCCGCACTATCGGTGCGATCACACTTACCTTGCCGATTGGAGCGCTCCTCGGAACTCGATTCGACGAACGTCACTCTGCCGCCATTCGATCTAGATTGCCCGCTGGCCAACCTACCAACTGACATCAGCATTATCAGTGCTAGTGCGCGGCTCATCTTGATTCGCCGCTCGATCGCTCCGTGCATCTTGCCGACTCCCGAACTTTTGGTCCTCGCGTTATTCACTCTTCCTCGGAACACTGGTATCTATCACCCTGTCGCACTAAACAATAGATACAAGCAGATCAGTTGAGTTCGATGCAGCTGCAGTCGTGGCCTTACCTTGCGATCAACGGATTCCTCGTTGCGTCCTCGCGGCGAGCACCAGTTCTGAGCAGTTCTGAGCCGTTCTGAGCCGTTCTGAACAGCGTTCTGAGCGATGCACCGATTCGAGGTATGGCTGTCCCGAGCGTAAACGTGTTCGGGTCGGACTGTCGAGTCAAGGCGTTTGTTTCGTATAAAACGTGTGGCGGGCTCTGAGACTCTGAGACTCCGAGACTCCGAGGCTCTGAGGCTCCGAGCGGCGGTGTTGAGTGCCGTTAGGTCGAGCGGCGGAGTCAATGAGCCCGGGGAGTTCAGGAAAGACAAACGACCCGCGCGATATGAAATAACAGCCGTTGGGTCGCGCAGGACGTCTTCGCGCTCTACGTTAACCTTGGCCAGGCACAAGTTTACGCAAATAGCGAGAGTGACGGTAGGAGTGCTATGAAGCTGAGAGAGGCCGTAATTTAAAGACGTATGGACGGAATATAGTCGAGGCTTCACTAAGAGACTCTACCGTGCACGTTGGAAGCGTCGAAATAAGCGCGCGGGAGCTTATATGCGCGGTTTTACTTAGATCGTAGGAGGAGGAGGAGGGTGAGGGAGGTACGGCACAGCACTCCGGATGAACAGCGAAGGTGAAAATTGAAAGTGAAAGTAATCCCAGGATGCAGGACCGGAACTACCACCCAAGTGGGACGAGAGCGCGAGTTCTGAAGTCATCAAACTTTCTTCGAGCGCAGAAGAGTCTGTTGCAGCGAGCATGCGTCATCGTGACGCAACGCAAAAAGGCTCTACCAGAACTTTGAAATATCCTGCGTTTCAGAAGGTCCGTGACAGGGCGTTGGGCAATTGCAAATTCCCAGAATGGAAATTGTCTTTCCAGTTAATATTAGGTCAAATGTAGAATAAAAACCTGTACTCTGGGGTGCGATCATGCATCTCAGACGGAGCGAATATCTTAAAAGCGAATTGTTATCAATGAATCGCATGATTGAGTGCAAAGAAGGGAAGCAGTAGGACTGGCGAAAAGAATGTGCTCTTTGGATTTTGCACACTTACCTCGGATACACGAGTTCACCCTGAGTACGAGTACGTGATAGTACCAAGTATATTGTGAATGTATTTTTTTTTCTTTTTAATAATACACACATGCCAGAACAATGCCGCGAAGGAGGATCTTCCAAGGTGTCGGGGACGGACCGCTGCGAAGATGCATTTGCAATATCTGCATGCGAATATATCGGGTTGTAGAGAAGCGCGCTATCATCTGTTTCATCGACTCGTCTATCCGCGCAACGGACCAGAGAAGGATCATGACTGAATGACTGAATGACTGAACGAGTAAAATAATTAAATTTGCTTTAAAGAGAGAAAGAGATTCATTAGTCCCAAGATTTGGCATGAGGACGTCTTTCATTTTCTTAATATTACTCTTTTTCTCTACTCAAATGATTTGCTCTAAACTGCCGGATGATTGTATCACTGAGCTGTGATACGAACGTGACTCGAATCACGCAATAAACACGAACGAAAACTATGTAGATCACGCATTGTATAATATTTTGCGATGTACATCAGACAATCGTATTTCTCTTCGTCTTTCGACTCGCCAAACAATCGAATTTATTTAACCGTCATACAAGGGTTTGCGAATTGACGTAACTTCTGCCTCTCGTTGCAGGACGTCATAACGTCCATCCGATTGGCCCAGACTCACGTTCTGCCAGTCTCCGAAATAAATTACTGGTGGAAACGCGACAGAAGGTAATCTGTGCCAAGAGGAAGGAAACGATGGATAGGAGGAGGCGAAGCTGAAGACGTTCACTAGGAACGAAAGAGAGAAAAGGCCGGAGCCAAAGAAAATAACGGCCGACCCGTTGCATCGGTCAACGCGTTATCATATTCTCCGATTGCTCCCTGTCTTTTTCCTTTCCTCGACTTTTCCCTCGAAGCGACCGACGCACAACCTGGCACTAGAGCTTCCTAGCTCGCACCAGCTTATCGATGTCTTGGTAAGTCGCGAGCATTGCCTGATTCTGGCCGAGCGCAGGATCCTCGGTTGCCCTCGCACAATCCCGATACGTCTCCTCGCACTGCAGGCCATCTTGGCCGTCCTTGGCCGCCTTCATGTATCTGAAGAACCGGAGGACGTCCGGATTATCGGAGGCGGGCTTCCGCAGCTCGTTCAGTTCGCGCGACAGCTGCGCCGAGACCAGATTGGAATAGGGCGCAAAGCGGCCCGGGTTCCGGTACATTGCGCAGACTGCGTACTCGCGGCATCCCTCGCTGGTGTGTCCCAGTCGCGAGAAGACAGCGTCCAGTCGCGAGAGCAGCGGCGAGTAGAATGGATCGTAGTTCGTCAGAAGAAGGGAACTCGATGGGATTTCGTGGAAGACCTGAAAATTCAAAAATGCCTATCTTTGCCTGATTTGCGCGAGCGATTGACGGGAGGGGGGCAAGGGGAAGGGGTGGGGAGCGGGTGGGGA